CAGTGTTTACAAATATAATGATATAAATATAATAATACCATGGCTCATGGGCCCAAAACAGGTTTTCACAAATAAATTCCATCTGGGGACAAATGGGCTGGAAAATGAATGAGACATTCCTGGTCATTTGTATGACATTCCCCCCACCTCCCATCCCATATTGGAAAACAAGAGGCACTTTTAAAAACAAATTTTAATGGTGGCCTAGCTCATCTGAACAGGACACAGTAGCCCTGTTCTTGGTTTCGGCTGCTTTCCAGCTGCGGTGTTCTTCTCATTGATCAGAGAGAAATCCCCAAGGCCTGGCAAAGGAAGCTTTTAATTGCTCTGGATGGACCGATTTGGGGCTTAGCTGCTCAAGCGTATAATTGACTGAGAGAAGGGGAGAGGATGAATTACTTAGAGATTGCTTTGAGATAAACATGTAGTCAGACCTCCCCCTCCCCGATTTGACCTAAAGAGACCCCCTCGCCTGTCTTCCCCAGCTCTGGGGCTAGGAGGCCCGAAGCAGGAATCGTGTTTTCCTGCTTTTATCAAAATAACGATGGGTGATGATAACCACCGCTATCCTTCATCATCTGCATTTGCCGTAGGTTGGATTTCCCTAGGAGAAGACCTGAGACAAACACGGAGTCAACCTTCTTTATTTGAAGGGAAGCCTGGAGGGACCAGGAAGGGAGAGGGAAAGTGAGTCAGAGAATGGGAGTCGGGCCAGTAAAGGGTGTGTTGTCAAGCGCGTAACCACTGGGGCCCTGGGCACTTAATCCCCCAGGGAACTGTGGGGGCTGGTGCAGAACATAGACTTCAGCATTGGCTTGTTCAAGGGACAAGGAAGCTGGGGGAAATTATATACCAGCCCACTTGGCCACAGCCTCAGGGCTGCTCCTGGTGCAGGGGAGTCCATTCCCTGGCACGTGCAGCCATCCCCAGGGTAGGCAACCAGAGGAAGGGTGACAGAGAAGGGGGCGGGGACCCTCTGGAAAGGGAATGTGTGGGGTGAAGGGACACCGAGAGACTAAAAAACAAGCCCCCCAATAGGATGATTCTAGTAGGGGAACCACTGGCTGAAACGACCTGCCATGGCCAGACATCACAGTAACCTTTTATATGACTTGTTTTACAACAGGAGGTCCTGGTAAGAAACACAGAACTAACAAGTGACCACCAACTGGAAGAATTCAGGAAAGGTCAAAAGGAGAGAGGAAACTCAAGTCCATATGTCCTACCAACCTCCCAGGATTCTTCTGGCTGGAAGCCATCTTGGCTGAGTGGGTGCAAGCATCACCAGGAAGGACTCCTGACTCAGAAGGGTTGGCCAGAGACAACCCAGGAATGAATCCCATCACCATAAAACCCAAGACTGTGGGCCACGTGGCAGAGCCGTTCTCCTGGTTTCCTTAATGCTGCTGTTCTCTGCCCGGGCGCCCCTTCCCAATAGAGTCTCTTGCTTTGTCAGCATGTGTCTCTCCTCGGACAATTCATTTCCAAGTGTTAGAGAAGAGCCCACTCTTGGGCCCTTGGAAGGGATTCCCCTTCCTGTAATAATTCCCTGTTTCCCTACTCAAATATCCAAAGGATGTGTGACCTAACTGAATGTATTTAAGATAATCTTTTTTTTTTGTCAATGAAATAGTTAATTATCTATTTATAACAAGTAACTTACTTGCCATCTGTGAGGCTGGCAAGTTATGATCACAGGTTATGTGTGACAATGTATTACTTTAGAAGAGTGCTCTCATCACCCTATCCTGTCACTCAATTTTTTGCCACCTCATCCACTGCACCTGTGGGCTCAGGGCCTCTGCCATCATCGAAGCCACCTTTTGAGTCATCTGAGTCGTCTAAGCACGTCTTCTCTCCCTTCTTGGTTCTCTGCGATGCAACATTTTTGAAATCTGTAGGATGCTTTCATGGGCATTTTTAGCCAAGCTTCGAGCACCTATTTGCATAACATTAGGGCAGCTGGCAGTCCCATTCATCGGAGGTGTCCCTGCCTGATCCCCATCCTGTAACCACAGATTGTGTGTTCTTAAGTGTCCTCAAAGGATCTGTGCACACTCACACTGGAACCTATGACGCCACAGGATCGGTTCCAACCTGTGTTAAACTTGCTAACCGCCTCTCAAGCGGTTCCTCAGATGACCTTGGCCAGAAGGACCCATGCAGGTTGTTTTAGGCAGCATATCTCCCTAGTTGTTCAAAAAATGATCACTAAAAGCACTCCACTACATGAAAGTATGTGTGCCGTCTTTCTTGAAAATAAACAGCCTCCTGTTCCGGCATCATTTGGTGAGTGGGGAAATTCATGGTACATCCAAACAGAGTGCTTTTGGTGGCTCTGGGCATAAGCTCATGTAACCTCACTACCCCACTCTGTGAGGTGGGCTCTGGGATACTTCCCATTTTATGGATGGGGAAACTGAGTCTTGGAGATGGGAAGGGACTCGCCCAGAATCACTCAGGGAGAGGCAGTAGAGCTATCTGAACCCTGGGTCTGAGTAAAACCAGGCGAGGGGAGGGCTGTGGGAGGCTGGAGCCCTCTGGACTCGGGAAGGGCCCGGGGTGGAGAGAACGCTGTGGAGCTGGACACTTTTGTCGCCCAGCAGGGGCACGGCCGCTGAGCCTTAAGGGCCTCCTTGTCTCCCAGGACCCCCTGACCCCACTGAAGACCACCCCAGTCCAGGCCTGGAGCCAGTGGCCATGTGGGGGCACCATCGGCTCCCCAGGCTGGGGGCAGGGCAGGGTGAGGAAATCCAGTGGCCACATGTGCACCCCTGAGTCCTGGGTGTGTTTCTTCTCTTCTGGAAATCAGGATGAGAAGAGAGAAGAGGGAGAGATGGGGAGAGGGGAAACTGAGAGATGACAGGGCCCTGATTTCCCCTAAAGGGCCATGAGAGGGGACACGGTGCAGCCACTGCTGCCAGATCCCAGACAGAGCTGGATCCTCCCAGGGGTGCCGGCCGTTCCACCAAAAGGCCTCCCCTGGCTTTGCTCTCATGTCTCTTCACAGCTGCAACACGCAGACAGTTCTCACAGGCAGGGTTTTAGTTTCACAAACATATGCTCAGAAAACGGTGCCTCCCACCACTGCCCCACCCCCCCCACCCCCACCAACAGCAGCCACATCAGCAAATCATGCCACAGAGAAAAGGTCTGCTGCCAGCAGGGCTGAAGATGGCAGGAGCCAAAGGCCACCCAGGTGGGATGCTCTGTTTTAAATTAGCCAGTGGCTGTCCCCTCCCTCAGGTACAGTAACAAGATTTGGGGGTGAGCAGGTTTGCCCAGTTCATGAACATCTGATGGACGATCCCCAGAGTGTGAGGCTGGGACCATCCACGGCCACACACAACCTCCAGCTCAAGTAGCCCAGTGACCTCAGGAGAGACCGCAGAGGACTGGGTGAGGTGGCTTCTGGGACCCGCCCAGCAGGACAGGCTCTAATCCCATATTTTCCTGGTTTCTCCTTATAATGGCTCCACTGGGCCCCTGAGTGGTCCCTGAACTGTCTAAAAAAAGGAACACGTGTACTTTGTGGTGAGGACACTTACCACAATTTAGTCTCAAGAAGAGACTGGGAGACAGCTGTCATCTCTGACAACCCTCTTCTTATGGGGTGGGGGCTCCCACTGTGGGGATCTTGGTGAATGGTAGGCGCCTGCCTCCTGGAACAGAGGCAGGGGAGGGCAGGGACCTTGGTCCAGACAATGGGATAACCCTGCCCAGGGCTCCAAATGGCGTGACCTTGGGAAAGTTAACCTCTTTAAGTGTCCATTCCTCACTCACAGGAAGGGAACAACAACTTATAACAACTTGGTAAGCTATTGAGTGAAAACAGAGCAAAGCCCTAAAAATAATGCCTGACACAAAGTAAGTGCTCAACAAATATTAGATCTAATCTTCAAAACACCTTCAGAGGGTAAACAAGCATCTCATCCCCATTTCTGGAATAGTAAACTGATGCTTTCCTTGTGGCTCAGCTGGTAAAGAATCCACCTGCAATGAGGGAGACCTGGGTTCGATCCCTGGGTTGGGAAGATCCCCTGGAGAAGGGAAAGGCTACCCACTCTGATATTCTGGCCTGGAGAATTCCATGGACGGTATAATCCATGGGGTCACAAAGGGTTGGTCACAACTGAGTGACTTTCACTTTCACACTGATGCTTAGAAAGGTTAAGGCCTGAAGTAAGTCAGAAAGAAAAACACCAATACAGTATATTAACACATATATATGAAATTTAGAAAAATGGTAATGATGACCCTATATGCAAGACAGCAAAAGAGACACAGATGTAAAGAACAGACTTTTGGACTCTGGGAGAAGGCGAGGGTGGGATGACTTGAAAGAATAGCATTGAAACATATATATTATATATGAAATAGATCGCCAGTCCAGGTTCCATGCTCAGGGCTGGTGCACTGGGATGACCCTGAGGGATGGGATGGGGAGGGAGGTGGGAGGGAGGGTCAGGATGGGGAACACATGTACACCCATGGCTGATTCATGTGGATGTATGGCAAAAACCACCACAATATTGTAAAGTAATTAGCCTCCATTTAAAATAAATAAAAAGAAAGAAAGGTTAAGTTCTCTCCTGGGCGCTAAGCAGTGGGGCCCGGAGTTCAAACCGAATGCAGAGATGCCTGCAGGTTATGCTATGTAGATTAAATGCCTGTGTGCACCTACGAGATACACAGTGCAAGGTCCTGGGATACGACTGTCACCAGACCCCGCCCAGCCCCGCGCCCCCGGTGGACGCTGACCTGGCCGGTCCTCGGAGCAGCCCTGGCTGCAGTCAGAGGGATGCCCATTGCCCTCAGGCGACTCAGGACTGCGGCTGGGCTGCTGACGTGTCGGGAAGGAAGGGAAAGCCATCGCCGGGGCGGTGGGGGGCGCGGCGGGGGGGGGGAGTGCACCCTCTTGGGGTGGCCGGAGTCTCCAAGAGCGCCCGCTGCATCGCTCGCTGCAGCTGGCGACCTTTAAATCCAGCTTTAAATAAACACTAGTCGGAGCTGGAGCAAACCCGGAGGGAGGCGCCTGTTAGGGAAGTCCCGCCGCCCCGGGGCTGGCTGGTGGCTAGTGCCGAGCCTGCCCGAGGCCGCCACGTAGCGGAGCCGGCCTTCCGGCCCCCTCCCGGTCCGGCCCGGCCCAGCCCACTCCGCACACCGCTGTCAGTCAGCCTCGCGAGCATCACGCACTCCCGCGGGGATCCGGGAGGGCCTGCCTGTCAGGCCCCGCCCACTGCCGGCGGCTCTCACCGTAGCCCCGCCCACCGGCGCGGCCGACTCCTACCCGGCTCCTGCCTCCACGTCCCTATTCCTCCATCTGCTTCTGCGCCCGGTCCCCGCAGCAGCCTCCGCCTTCGTGCTCACACTCTCACAATACCAACCCCGCCCCCCCCGCCCCACCCCCACCGCCCAGAGCTTCAGGAGCATGCGCTTCAGCATCCGACTGGCTGCGTTCAAATCCCTGCTTGATGGATCTGTGACTTTGGAGAAGTTACTTCATCTCTCTGGGCCCCAGTTTCTCCATCTGTAAAATGGGGATGATGGTAACAAGTGCTCACTCCATAAGGTTATTGGGGAGCTCAAATAAAAGAAGACAAATAAAGGGACTGGCTTAAAATCAGTGCCGATCTCGCATAGGATGGAAAGGGGCTAATCAGAATACAGAGCTTAATCATCCCAAGGAGACTTAGGGTTGACCAAAAAGGGGGGCAGGGGAGGTCCTGTTTCCAGGGACAGGAATTAAGGCTTTGCTGTAGAATAGGCAGGAGGTGGGGGGAGGTGGAGGGGCCCCTCTCTGCCTTCTAGATACCACAAAGGCAGTGGAATTCCACGGTCTGTGCTTGTTTATCAAGCAGTTATCAAGCACCATCTGTGTGCCAGGCACCGCCAGGGGAAACCACAGCCCCTGGAGATCAAGGAGCTCTTGGAGTGCAGCGGCACCTAGCAACACACTGCTGAAGGCAACAGGGAAGCACACAGAGCCACAGGAACAGGAGAGGAGCCAGCTCTAAGGCCTAGGGAGCAGCGGGAAACCTCCCTGTCAGTGAGCTGGTCTCCAAGGAGGACCGCTCACATGACAGAGAGCATCGTCAGCTCTTGAATATGTGGTAGGCCTCATTTGCTCAGCTGGGGAGACCGGCTGCATTCCTTAGCCCCATTCAGCTGATGGAAAAGTAGAGGCCCAAAGAGTAAGTAACATCTTCCCCAAGAGCAGGCTTTTAGTAAAAGGGTATTCTCTCAGATCCTAAAGAGCCAGTTCGCTCAGCTTCCAGGAGCTTACCAGAAGACCAGAGATGAGGGGGAGGAGAGAGGCTGGACAGATAAGCCAGGCTGGCTGGCCACAGGCCCGGCGCAGGGTCTGGACTTTGTCCTGTGTGGGCGCGGCAAGCCTGCACACAAGTGTCCACACCCCCACATTCCTCTGCCAGCTGCAAGGCCAGACTTTGTCCCTGTGACTCCCAGAACTTCCTGAAACAGGGCTCCTCACCACGACACATGGTTTAAACGTAGTGATTTAAAAGAAAGCTGTTGGAGAGAGCAAGGGCCATTCCCACCAAGAAATCCTTTCCTCATCTTCCTGTCTTTGTAGTGTCCACACAGGCATGAGGAGGATGAGGGAGTGCCATCATTTATTGGGCACCGGGTGAGCCAGGCCCTCTGCTGGGACCCTCACAAATATCAGTCCCCTCCATCCTTCAAATCAGAACCCTGGGGCAAGAGTCATGAACAGGAAGCCACCTGGAATGAGAGGACGGAAGCCTGGCTCTGGCTGAGCCGTGCAGACATCTCAGGAGGTTGGGGATGGGGGATTTGACTCCCCCCCAACCCCCACCGCCCCCAGCCCCAGCCCCTGCCAGTGCTGCAGGCTGAGGAGGCAGGGGCCTCTCCTGGTTCACTTGGATCCCAGGCAGACCAGGGAGCAGGCACAGTGAGCTTCTTGACAGGGTGAGGTCAGACCAAGAAGGAGGCCCTGGCCAGCTGTGGTGCCTGGTAGGCAGAGCGGCCAGACTTACTGAATAAAAAATGCAGGATGCTATTTACATTTGAACTTCAGATGAATCAGAAATAAGGTGTACTATAAGGTGTTCCATGGACTAGGGTTGTTGGGGTGGGGAACGAAGAGACAGGGACAGATGTAGGATTTGATGAAGAGATAGGCTCTGGGGGATTGACCGTGAGCTGGATGCCAGGGAAATCAGGGATCCCCCAGACTCCAGGTTTGCAGCAATTGTGTGGTTAGTGGGACCACTGAGTGAGCAAAGGCAATGCAGCAGGGTCAGATTAGCGAGGGGAGCCAGGGGCTCTGTTTCTGGCTGTTAAGTTGAAGGTGTTTATTTGAGCCCCATGTGAAGGTTGTGCAAGTCTGGGGCTTAAGGAAGGGACCTACTGGGGACCTCTCAGCATGTGGATGGAATTTGAAGCCATGGTTCTGGACGCGACCACCTGGAGCATGAGAGGGCAGAGACAGTGGTCCTGAACTTGACCTTGAAGACTCTCAATATTTGCAGGTCATCCAGAGAGGGAGAGGCAGCCAAAGAAATGGAGTCAGAGTGGCCAGAGAGGTGGGAGGAAAGTCTACTGGGGCGGCAGACACAACCGAGAAGGGTGTTTCTGGAAGGCACAGGCGGACTGTGCTGAATACTGCAAGGAGGTAGGGAGTGGAAGCCAAGGCTGGCCTGCAGTGGACTGAAGGCAGAATTAGAGGGGAAGGTGCAGAGGGCCATCAAGAAATCCTGCAGTGTGGGTGGGGCTGGAGGCAGAGGGAACCAGGAGGCAGTGTGGTCCACACAGGCTTCCATCTTCCATCCATAACTTTTGGGGTACGTTCCTGCCTAGAGGCATGGAGACAAACCTTGACCACTCCCCTCTAACTGGCAGTGGAACCCTGGACAAATCAAGTCAGATGGAAATGGACTAAGGGCCTTTGAAAGTGTACTAAGTGACACAAAAGAGTGTGAGGGATGAACACACCCAACAACGTGGATGGATTTCAGAACTATTACAGAGTGAGAATCCCATGGAATGAGGAGTCTGGTAGGCTACAGTCCATGGGGTCCCAAAGAGTTGGACATGACTGAACAACTTCACTTTCTTTTTCTTTCTTTCTACTTTGTGAAAGAAGCCAGCCTCAAAAGAGTCTCTTCAGTTGGACACCATTTATGAGAAGGTAAAGAACAGGCAAAACTCATCAAAGATGAAATAAAGATGAGAACCATGGCTGCCTCTGGGGGCAGTGTGGGGGTGGGTGGATGGGGAAGGGGATTGAGGGCACCATCTGGGTGACAACAGCAATGATCTGAACCTTGACAGGGTTCTGATTCACACAGGCAAATGTTTTTGTCAAAACTTGGCAGATGGCGCGCTTAAGATTTGAAAGCTTCATTGCATATAAATTTCACCTGAGAAAAATGAACTGTAAAGTAATTATTCAACAGAATGATACATGAGCTGAAGTGTTTAGGGATGAAGTCTTCAACTCTCCTTGAAAGGTATAAAAAGAAATAAGATGGATTGATGGTTAGAGAGCTGGACAGATATACAGTGAAGCAAACAGAGCAAAATGTCATCCGGTGGTAAGTATTTGAATGTTTGCTCAACTTTTTTCAGAATTCACTTAACTTTTCTGTATATTCAAAAAATTTTTTATAATAACATGTTTGGGACGGGGATAAAGAAAAAAGGATGTGTGAACACTTTCACCCACTCCCAAGATGTTTGTTGAGCACTGACTGTACATCGGGTTCTGTGAGACCGGACTGGCGCTGATGGTGATCCCAGAGCTGTGGCGTGATATGCCCTCTGAGTGAGTTTTCCTAGAGCAGAGAACTGTCACTGTCCCTTCTCATGGGGGACACCAGAGACTAAGAAAAGCACACAAGTCTTCCAGGGAACCGATTTAAAGAAAGAAGTCACTGGAGCCAGTGAGGTAGGTGAACAGCCAAGTGGACAAATGAGATTTGGATTGGGATAGTCAACACATACTAGAACATTAAAAGATAGTCAGATTTGGAAACAACTGCTTCAACCGCAGAGGTTAAAATATGCTCCATCTAATTCACCTACTGTCAGGGGTGGGCGTGGGGAGGTTGAATAATGTTCCAGTCCCTATGACTATACAACCGGAGAACATGAAACCCAGATGCCCCCACCCAGGATGTATCCTCACTGCCTTGCTTTAAGAGTCAAAGCTTGGCAGCAGCTGACATGTATGTTGTGGGGGTGGGGTCCTGGTTAAGTCATTTATGCATGCTTAGACACTTCAGTCATGTCCGACTCTTTGTGACCCCAGGGTGGCCTGCCAGGCTTCTCTGTCCATGGGATTTTCCAGAAAAAGAATACTGGAGTGGGTTGCCATTTCCTTCTTCAAGGGATCTTCCCAACCCAGGGACCAAACCCACATCTCCTATGTCTCCTAGCTTGTAGGCAGATTCTTTACCCACTGAGCTATCAGGGAAGCCCTAAGTCATTTACGGTGGTTTATAAATGAAGTGGAATTCTCTGCAGCTTTTAAAAATGAGTGCAGTCGATCTATATGTCCTGGACTTTGAACAGCTGAAATTTTAATGTAAAGTAAAAACAATAATAAATATTTATATAAATGATCTTATTTATATTAAATTATGTCAGAAATGTGTGTAGATATATACAGATGACTATAAACATATATCTCTCTATATATTATGCTCCTACATATTGTGTCCATAGAATTCTCCAGGCACGAATACTGGAGTGGGTTGCCATTCCCTTCTCCAGGGGATCTTCCCGACCCAGGGGTTGAACCTGGGTCTCCTGCATTGCAGGCAGATTCTTTACCATCTGAGGTAAAGATTCTTTACCATTCTTTCCCCAGGGAAACCCCATATATTATGTCCTGCATGTCTGCTCAAATCCATATGTTCAAGCTGTAACCCCCAATGTGGTGGTAGGAAGAGGTGGGACCTTTGGGAGGTAATTAGGATTAGAAGAGGTTGTGAGGATGGGGCCCCCAGCATGGAGTTGGTGTCCTTATATGGAGCTCCCTCTCTACCAGGTGAAGACATAGTGAAGAGGTGGAATCTACAGCCAAGAACTGGGTCCTTGCCAGACACCAAATCTTCAGGCTCTCTGATCTTGAACTCCCCAGCCTCTGCAACTGTGAGAAATAAATGTTTATTGTCTAAAGCACACAGTCTGTGCTATTTTTGTTACAGCAGTCTGAGCTTAGACAGTATATAAATGTACACATACATACACAGCACCATGAAAATGTTCACCAAAATGCCACTCAAGGCACTTCTCTGTGATGGAATTTGAATTATTTTTTTCTTCACTTGGTCTTCCCTGGTAGCTCAGACAGTAAAGAATCCACTTGCAGGAGACCTCAGTTCAATCCAAGATCCCCTGGAGAAGGGAACGGCTACCCACTCCAGTATTCTGGCCTGGAGAATTCCATGGACAGAGAAGCCTGATGGGCTACATACAGTCCATGGGGTCACAAAGAGTCAGACACGACTGAGCAACTTTCCCTTTCACTTTTTCCTCACTTTCTGTATTGTTTAAATTTTTCACAATAAGCATGTACCATTTTAATGAAGCAATTCTCTTTAAAGAGATCTCTTGGAGTAAGCTGACACTTGCAAAGTGCTCCCAACTGTGTCCTCCTCACCCTGAGCCCAGGAGCAGGAGGAGCTTTAAGCGGGTGGGTGAGCTGGGGACCCTCTCCTGAGTAATTCAGGGCATTTCTATCTTCTCCTGAGCCCTGAGACAGGAGGAGCGACATCATTTGTGGGGCCAGGGAAAAATCAAATTATAGAGCTCCCTGTTCGAAAATCATGAAGAATTTCAAGATGCTGACAGCATTAAGCCAAGCGTGAGACCCTGGTGAGCACAGGGCCTCTATGAGGCCCGCCGAGCCTGGCGAGACCATCTGGAAGACAGCCAGCAGGCAGCCAGAAAAAATGGTCCAGGAGGAACTGATCGTGGCTTTAGGAGGCTGAGTGAGGGACCCAATGGACCATCAGCTCACCAGGAGTCTCCCCAGGGCCAGCATGAGAAACATTCCGGACCTGAGTCTTGGAAGGCTGCCCTTTGGGGTGTGCAAGCCCCATAGCCCCGCTCATGGGGGGTGGGGGTGTTGAGCTGCTTTAATTAGCAAGGGGGCATCAGGAGAGCCTCCTGCCCTGGGAGAGAGTGAGCCCTTTGGAAGCGGCAGCCACCCACGGTGTGGTACCTTCTCCTTGGACACACCCCGGGAGCCCCCAGCCCAGCCCTCCATCCCCCTGGCCAGGTCTCCCTGGGGCCCTGTGACCACCTCATCCAGCTGCTCACGGAAAACCTGCTCCAGCGCCCCGACTCTGGCCACAGGGAGAGCCTGTGTCAGACCAGCAGTACAAAGGCCGGTCTGTGAGGGAAGGGCAGGGACCGGGGCACGGGCAGGGGCTCCTGCACGGTCCTCGGGCTGTGGATTGGCCTAAGGGCTCCACAAACTCTCCGCTAACTGGTTCCAGCCACTAGCTGTCCACACCCTCCAGCCCAGCTGAGCAGGACCCCAGAGATGGGAGCGAAGACCAGCGGCACACAGACGGCCCGTCCAGCGGGCACCTGCATTCCCCCACTGCCTCCTCCAGGCCGCGCTGCACTGGCAAACCTGTGCTTCCACCAAACCAGAAACCCCTTGAGTCCGTGCCCAGCCCCTCTCAACCCTTCAAACACGTCTCCTCCATGTTCCCCAAGACTCCCTCCACCACAAGGACCCTTCACTCCAAGACTTCATACTGGGCGCCTGCTTCAAGCCCGGGTCCACGGCAGCAACTCCAGGCCAGGCACCGACCTCAGCGGTGCCTTGTCCGTGGCCGCCCAAGTGCGCACAGCAGGCACTCAGGAGGTGGGCCTCCTCCAAGCCCACTGAAGGCTGGGCCTCCACCTTGAGCACCCGCAGGCCTTCCTTGCTCCAGCTGAAGGTGCTCAGACAGCAGCAGCGAGCGGGTGGGGGGGGGTGCAGACGGAGTGGGGGTGGTGAGGTCTGATGCTGCTGGAAGCCACCTCCACCCACAAGGGTCAGGACCTTTGGATGCTTCCCACAGCTTCTTCTCCCGGTAGGACAATTCTGGGGCACATACCCCCGGCTTCCTCGGGTGGTCCCAGCAGGATGGGGTCCCAGGTGCCCTATGGGAACTGCCCATGAATGCACTGTGGCCTCCCCTTCCAGCCTCCTTGCCATCCCTCCTTGTACTGGGGCATCACCTGGCAAATACCTGTCTGCACTGGGCTGGCACAGGTCCCTCTGGCACAGAACTTCATCCCAGGCCTCCTCTCACCCCGTTTCCCTCACACGTGACAAACATTTGTCCCCTGTCTGTCAGGCATCAGGCAGGGGTGCCTTGGGGTGAGGAGAAACCTTCTGTAGGCCCCCTCTCCCTGTTCTCAGCAGTGGGGGAGGTAGGGAGAAAGAAAGTAGAACCTGGAAGGGAGGGGCAGGGAGAGAAGGTCTGAGCGTTGGGTACCTGGACACCATAGCCCAGGGCTGAGCACCCTCACTAGCTTCTCCAAAAAGGCTCTGGAGGCTCAGGACCTGCCCTTCCCCCCAAAACCTGGAAAGCTCAGTGCTAGGGCAGAAAGCAAAGAGGAATTAAAGAGCCTCTTGAGGAAGGTGATAGAGGAGAGTGAAAAAGCTGGCTTAAAATTCAACATTCAAAAAACTAAGATCATGATATCAGATCCCATCATTTCATGGCAAACAGATGGGAAACAATGGAAACATTGACAGACTTTATTTTCTTGGGCTCCAAAATCACTGTGGATGGTGACTGCAGCCACAAAATTAAAAGACAATGCTTGCTCCTTGGAAGAAAAGTTATGAGAAACTTAGCTTATTAAAAAGCAGAGACATTACTTTTCCAACAAAGGTCCATATAGTCAAAGCTATGGTTTTTCCAGTAATCATGTACAGATGTAAGAGTTGGACCATAAAGAAAGCTGAGCTCTGAAAGTTGATCCTTTCAAACTTTGGTGTTGGAGAAGACTCTTAAGAGTCCCTTGGATTAAGACTCTTGAGAGTCCCTTGGACTGCAAGGAGATCCAACCAGTCCATCCTGAAGGAGATAAGTCCTGGGTGTTCATTGGAAGAACTGATGTTGAAGCTGAAACTCTAATACTTTGGCCACCTCATGCGAAGAGTTGACTCATTGGAAAAGACCTTGATGCTTGGAGGGATTGGGGGCAGGAGGAGAAGGGGACGACAGAGGATGAGATGGCTAGATGGCATCACCGACTCCATGCGCATGAGTTTGAGTAAACTCCGGGAGTTTGTGACGGACAGGGAGGCCTGGTGTGCTGCGATTCATGGGGTTGCAAAGAGTCGGACACGACTGAGCAAGTGAACTGAACTGAACTGGACTGCAAGGAGATCAAACCAGTCAATCCTGAAGGAAATCAACCCTGAATATTCATTGGAAGGACTGATGCTGAAGCTGAAGCACCAATATTTTGGCCACCTGATATGAAGAGCTGACTCATTGAAAAAGACCCTGATGCTGGGAAAGATGGAAGGCAGGAGGAAAAGGGGGCGACAGAGGATGAGGTGGTTGGATGGCATCACTGACTCCATGGACATGAGTTTGAGCAAGCTCCAGGAGATGGTGAAAGAGAGGGAAGCCTGGCGCATTGCAGTCCATGGGGTCACAAAGAGTGACTGGAGTGAGGGTTTGTGTTGCCTGGGGTTCTGGTCCCCCTCTTCCTGGTGGATACAGCCTTGGGGAGACTGGAAGGAGGTGCAGGGAGGTCTCAGGACATTAATCCACCCCGGTGCCCCAGCTAACCAGCGACTGGAGGCCCTCTCCCTGAGCCCTGCAGGCCAGCACTGCTGGTGGACACCTCATCAGCCCTTGCTGTTCTCCCCACTCTCCCCACCTGGCTGTGAACAGCCTCTCCACTGGGACAATGTCCTTAGTGACCCCCACTGAGTTGCTGCTGGTCTGTTGCTGTCCTGACAGAGTGGGGGCCAGGAGGGCATCCCACTCCAGCCTTTGTTTCCATGTCTGGAAAATGGGTGTGACAATAGCAACGCTAACATCTTGATGATCTCAAAATGACAAATGACAGACCCTTCTTCAGACCCACCTGAGGAAGAGGAAATCCTCAAAGGGCACTGGGGCCCCTGGCGTGACAGAGGAACCCGAGCCAGGGTCTATGACTGGTTCCTTTTGTCTTTCTGTCCTTCTCCCTTCTCTGGTGCATATCACATGCAGCCAGCTAAGCTTCCCCTGCAGCTCACCAGTCCTTTCGCTCTCAATAAATATAGACGTTATTGCACAAAAACAGACTCACATGTGTACCGGGGGGAACCTGCCTCTGTTCACTGATCGCCAGGCGCCTCGCCCACCTTGCTGTATGTTCTTCTGTTCTGCAGCCACATGGCCCCACATCTTCTGGGTGTCCTACTAACCTTTACTCCCTTGACGTGTCCCTAACCCCAGGGTATTTTTGCAGTGACTGTCACCAGTGTCTGGAGTACACGTCCCTTTCCAGAGTCCTCTCCCAGGATCCCTTTTTTTTTTGGCCGCACAGTTTGTGAGATTTTAGTTCCTTGACCAGAAATTGAACCTAGCACCCTCAGCACTGAGAGCACGAAGTCCTAACCATTAGGCCACCAGGGAAGTCTCAGGGTCCCTTCAGAAGCAGACACTGACTTCCTCTCCATCCTGACTGCCTTGCTCCATCCCCAGCCCTTGCCCTGGCTTCTACCTGGAGCTCATGAGACAGTGCAGTGCAAGCACACCACCCTCTCCTCCAGTCCTGCCCTGATGTTCTCTGAGCTTTCCGCAGACAGACCCCTGGGGCACAACATCATCCCATTTGGCCCGTGTTCCCCGGCAGCCACAACTTTTAAAACACGGTTGACCCTTACACTGAAGAAAACACAAAGCTCTTGTCTCCTCCCAGCCAGGCCACCTCTGCTCCTTAAGTTTAGACAATAGCCATTTGATTGAGCATGCACATGCCCATCCCTCCTAAGGTTTTCAAAAGAGGAAGAGGACACCACAGAGCTTTTTCAAGTATGGAACAAAATACAGTTTCAAATATTGTGTCAGGCACAGTCCCTGGGGGCGCAGAGGGCACTCAAATGGGGCAATTTGAGGGGAGTTTGTTAAGCAGACTGTTCACAAAGGTGCAGGAGGATTTAGTGCCAGGTTAGGCAGAATCCTGGGGTGAGCAATATCAGGGATCTTTCCCGGATGATCCAGAGAGAATGACCCATGTGCGGTCCTGGACAGGAGCAGCGGACTTTAGGGGAGGGAGGTCCCTGACCTGTGCAGACCCGGAAAGGAAGGAGCTGGGGGGCTGGGGAGTCAATATCCAGACCTTGCCTTTCTCCTACCCTGCACGTACACCCCCCTGGATGGACCCTGCTGAAAACAGGATGTCCTGGCTTAAATGTCCAGCATCCTGGGACACAGGTCAGAGTAGACAGGGACCATGGGGCAGGGACCTGGGCAGGGCGCAGGCAGAGAGGAGGAGCAGTGGGAGATACATGCTCACAACAGATTTGAAAGTATGCAGTAGCACTTCCCTGGTGGTCCAGTGGTTAAGACTCTGCCCTTCCACTGAAAGTATGCAGTGCAATTAGAAACGATGAATTTAGTGAAAAGGGAGTAGTTATTTGCACAACTAAATGCTTTTTTGATTTTACAAACATTGCCAACTAATTATCTTGAAAATAACAAACTTCCCCCTTGCAATTAAAATATAGTTCCATTTATGAACAATTCAGCTGACTCAGCACTCCCAACATCCAGGTAAACCAAAGCAGGGAGTAGTTATGGGTGGGCTTATAGTGACACTCACTTCTGGAAAAGGTCCCCTCTGGAGATGTTTGATGGCATCTGAGTGGGGAGAGGGCAGACAGTTTCCCCAGAAGAAATTAGAGACTGAGGAAAAAGGAGGCAGATGCTGGAAGGCCAGGAAACTAGCCAGTCATTCCACGGAGGCACAAGTTGATATGCAAAGCTCACCCCATTCCTTAGCAGCTGAATACTGATTGAAACCCAGTCTGTCACCTCCAACAGCTTGCGGGAATATTTCAGGCAGCCTTCCACCTTGATCTGTTATCTTTAAGCCTGACCAGCACAATCTTCCCTGGTGGCTCAGAATCTGCCTGCAATTCGGGACACCTGGGTTCCATCCCTGGGTTGGTAAGACCCCCTGGAGAAGGGAACGGCTACCTACTCTAGTATTCTTGGGCTTCCCTGGTGGATCAGTCAGTAAAGAATCTGTCTCCACAAGGATATACAGTGGAAAAAAGACAACCTCTTTAACAAGTGGTGCTGGGAAAACTGGTCAACCACCTGTAAAAGAATGAAACTAGAACACTTTCTAACACCATACACAAAAATATACTCAAAATGGATTAAAGATCTAAATGTAAGACCAGAAATTATAAAACTCCTAGAGGAGAACATAGGCAAAACACTCTCCGACATAAATCACAGCAGGAGCCTCTATGACCCACATCCCAGAATTTTAGAAATAAAAGCAAAAATAAACAAATGGGACCTAATGAAACTTAAAAGCTTTTGCACAACAAAGGAAACTATAAGCAAGGTGAAAAGACAGCCCTCAGATTGGGAGAAAATAATAGCAAACGAAGCAACAGACAAAGGATTAATCTCAAAAATATACAAGCAACTCCTCCAGCTCAACTCCAGAAAAATAAATGACCCAATCAAAAAATGGGCCAAAGAACTGAACAGACATTTCTCCAAGGAAGACATACAGATGGCTAACAAACACATGAAAAGATGCTCAACATCACTCATTATCAGAGAAATGCAAATCAAAACCACAATGAGGTACCATTACACACCAGTCAGGATGGCTGCTATCCAAAAGTCTACAAGCAATAAATGCTGGAGAGGGTGTGGAGAAAAGGGAACCCTCTTACACTGTTGGTGGGAATGCAAATTAGTACAGCCACTATGGAAAACAGTGTGGAGATTTCTTAAAAAGCTGGAAATAGAACTGCCATATGACCCAGCAATCCCACTTCTGGGCATACACACCGAGGAAACCAGATCTGAAAGAGACACGTGCACCCCAATGTTCATCGCAGCACTGTTTATAATAGGCAGGACATGGAAGCAACCTAGATGCCCATCAGCAGACGAATGGATGAGGAAGCTGTGGTACATATACACCATGGAATATTACTCAGCCATTAAAAAAAATTCATTTGAATCAGTTCTAATGAGATGGATGAAACTGGAGCCCATTATACAGAGCGAAGTAAGCCAGAAAGATAAAGACCATTACAGTATACTAACACATATATATGGAATTTAGAAAGATGGTAACGATAACCCTATATGCAAAACAGAAAAAGAGACTCCGATGTATAGAACAGACTTGTGTACTCTGGGAGAAGGCGAGGGTGGGATGTTTCAAGAGAACAGCATCGAAACACGTATATTATCTAGGGTGAAACAGATCACCAGCCCAGGTTGGGTGCATGAGACAAGTGCTCGGGCCTGGTGCACTGGGAAGACCCAGAGGGATCGGGTGGAGAGGGAGGTGGGAGGGGGGACCGGGATGGGGAATACATGTAAATCCATGGCTAATTCATTTCAATGTATGACAAAACCCACTGCAATGATGTAAAGTAATTAGCCTCCAACTAATAAAAATAAATTAAAAAAAAAAAAAAAGAATCTGCCTCCAATGCTGGAGACCTGGGTTTGATCCCTGGGTTTGGAAGATCCCCTGGAGGAGGGCATGACAACCCACTCCAGTATTCTAGCCTGGAGAATGCCATGGACAGAGGAGCCTGGCGGGCCACAGGCTCCTCTGTCCATGGAGTCACAAAGAATCAGACACGACTGAGCACCTAAGCACAGCACAATCTTTCCCACAGATGTTCCCTCTTGATGCTCCATCAGGGACACTCAGGCAAACCACATGAGCCCCTGCCTTGGGTGACCAGGCAGCTAGTGAACGTTTCCCGGGGAAAGTCCTTGTGATGGAATTTCCTCCTGTGCTCTCAGCGCTTAGGAGACGTCATTGCTTCATCTGTAATGCTGTGTTGCATGACACCAACAGGGACAGACCCGCATCCAGCTAGTGGCTCTGCTCAACGCCAAGGCCCGAGCTGCCCACAGCACCCTGGCCAGCAGACCTGCAGCTGAGTCCAGGTCCCCCGCCGCTGCTCCCAGCACAGTGCGTCCACCAGCGCCCTGTTGGACACCCCACCTCAGCTAGAAGTCCCAGATACAGACAGACCTCCACGTGCTGGCATGGCCGTTCCAAACAGCCTCATGCAAACCCTTTCCTGGTTCCCAGTCTCTTCTCACCTCGTGCTCATAGGTAACTGCGTTTCACAAACGGAAGACAATAGAGAAGCGCCACCCTGAACTGGGCGGGACAACATGCAGGAAGCGCAGAAGACACTGCAGATTTAAAGAGCCCTTTTGAACAACTGACCTTTTGAGACAAATCCCAGGGAGCTTGGCACAGCCTCTGAGAAGGCAGAGTGGGGAGGGCATGAGGGCCACAGTGACAGGTCACTGACTGCTCAGCTGCACCTCTGGGGCCTTCTTGAAATGCCTATTGTTTCCTGACAACAGTGGTGGCCATGGACTGGCTGGTTCCCTGTGTCACAACTCCTCAGTGGAAGCCTTTGTCTCCTGCCAGCAGCTCCACGGTTCTTGTCTTCCCGGTGCATCACCCTCACCCGAAGGCCTGCTCTGTGGCCCATGTCCTGGCAGGGCTCCAAGGAAGACTTCAATCCCTCCTGGCACATGCAGAAGCACCACTGGATGAATGGGGAAGCAGAGATCTCCATCCTGGAGCTGGGCCGGAACTAGGCCAACCCGAGTCAGGGAGGATTTCATCACACCCTCCAGTTCCTGATCACCTTCCTGCCACATGGCATCCTGTCCTACTGCTTCCTTGGTAATCAGACTTTCCCTACCTCTTCCTGGCAATGGGTCCCCCACCATGTTTCATAGGGCTGACCTGTGCGATCAGTTTCAGAAATGGCAGGATGTGACTAGGTCATGATAGACCTCGTGGGTTCCACCTTGCTCTCCCCGGGGTCATGGCTCTGGGGAGAGTCAGCTGCCACATGCTGAGGACCCCCAAGCAGCCCTGTGGAGAGTCTGTGGGGTAAAGATCTGAGGCCTCCTGCCAACGGCCAGCATGAGCACTTCATCCATGTGAGTGAGCCATCTTGGAAGCCAGTCTTCCAACCCCAGTCAAGCCTTTGGATGAGTATAGACCTTGCACCTTGATGGCAACCTCGCAGGAGACCCTGAGCCAGGGCCATGCAGCTAAGCCACTCCTGAATTCCAGACCCACAGAAATGGTGAGACAGTGAACTACTCTTGTTGCTTTAGGCCACTATATTTTGTTACACATTACATGGTGTTATGTAGCTTCATGTTCTGGGTGGTAAAGTTTGAAGGGGTGAGGGGCACAATGCAGAGTGGTGAAAGGGAGAGAATGGACAGGGTCAATGACTCAGCACACTTGTTTCCTGATTCCTTACGATCCTGCCCCTCATTGTAAAAAAAGGAAAGAAGTGTTAAAAATGGAAGGGTTATCCCAGACATTCCAACCAGCAGTCAGTGCCTAGGGCCGCCCACCCAAGCCCCTCAAGAACTGGACACTGCCCTCCCACAAAGTGTCCCAAATCCTGTTCTTCTAATAAAAAAAAAAACCAAACCCATACAGTACTCTTGAAGAATAGAGCCCCGAGCTCCTTTCCACAGAAACTACTGCCTGGCCAGAACTCCTCAACCCATTCTGGGCTTGGCAATGGGTTCTTTTGAAAATCTAACCTTCTCTCTCATCTGTTTCATCTTAGCTTTATTCTAAAGTTCCAAGCTATTGAGGGATTTCTCTGGGGTCCAATGGTTAAGACTCTGAGCTTCCAACGCTAGGGGCATTGGTTCAATCCCTCATGGGGGAAATAAGATCCCACATGCTGTGCAGTGCAGCAAACACACACACACACACACACACACACAAAACAAAACCATAAAGTGCCAAGCTATTGAACTAACTCATCTCAGCTTGGGGACCACTTTCACTCTTACCTCCAACGTTGTATCACCTTCATATCTGGTGCCATAGTTCCTCACCATCTGCATCTGTAATGTTGATTGAAATAGTGACCTGGGCAGAGCTAACTGCAGAGCCATCTGGCCCTTCTTTGCAGACCCCACCACTGCCTGGGGCCAGAGACCCCTTCATGACAAACACATCGCAGAGAGCTGTGCAACCTGCCATAAATTCCCCAGAAATACTCTCATTATCAATGAGTCTGTGTTAGTCTCTCAGTCGTGTCTGACTCTTTATGACCCCATGGACTGTAGCCCACCAGGCTTCTCTGTCCATGGTATTCTCCAGGCAAGAACACTGGAGTGGGTTGCCATTTCCTTCTCCAGAGGATCTTTCCAACTCAGGGATCGAACCTGGGTCTCCCACATTGCAGGCAAATTCTTTACTGTCTGAGCCACCAGGGAAGTGAGTTTGCCAACCCATTATCCAAATGCTGACTGGACGCAGCTCATTCACGCTACTCACCAGCCTGTCTGCAAACAAAGTGATCTTAGCATGTGTGTTAGTTTCTGCAGCCTCTGTAACAACGTGCCACAAAGCTGCCTGTCTCTTATAAGGACACACATGATGGCATTTAGGGTTCAGCTGGATAATCCAAGATAATATCTCAAGATCCTTGTCATAGCAGATGAGGAGATAATTATAGAACATGAAAACACATAATATTTTTATATAAAAATGCATATTTCAATAATTTTGAAAAAAGAAAAAGATACTTGTTACATCTGCCAAGATCCCTTTTCCTTATAACATTAATAGGTCCAGGGATTAGGATCTGATTTCTCAGTGGGGTGGGAGGATTATTCAGCTCACCCGCACCAAGTTTTCCCACCTCATGGTCACTTCATTCCTTCCTGATGCTTACAAAGATGCTTACATCATGCTCTGCTGTATATCTTTTTCCAAAAGTTAACCTCAAGGTTACCACTGTCTCTACTTTTATCAATCCACTGGAGAACTCTACTTCCCCAGACCACATCCCTCTGAACATAAAATTAGTGTCATAATAAATCGAAACAGCATTTCTCAGGTTTGCCATTATTGCTGGTTCTCCAGACCCCTAGAAGCATCAGGATTCCCTAGAATGCACCTCTTAGGTGGAGGTGGCCTAGAGGTTGAGGTCATGATTTCTCAGTTTGGACTCCCTAGGTCTGAACCCTGGCCACATCACTGTGGTCAGCTGTACTTTCCAAAAATGGACACCAAAATCTCTACCACCCCAATGCTCTTCCTGAGCCCATCAAGAAGTGGAGTCCATTTCTCTTCCCGCTTTCATCTGGATTAGCCTATACTGTGCTTTCTCCCACAGAATGTAGTAGGAAAGATACTGGGTCTCTTCCACTGGGCTGGCAGTTTCCTATTCCTGCCTCTTGGGATGTTCCTTCTTGGGATGCTCCTCTCTGAAGCCAGCTACTGGGCTGTGAGCAAGCCCACCACGTAAAGACCACTTGTGGCTGCAGTGGCTGACAGCTCCCAGACGGCCAGCCCTGTCGAGCCTTCGGATGCCTCTAGTCCCATCAACATCTGTCTGCAGCCACAGTGGAAGCCTCAAATGAAGACCACCCAGCAAGCCCAGACAATGGGCAGGACCACGAATGACAATAAATTGTTGTCCTAAGCAGTCAAGTCTTGGGATGGCTTATTATACAACAATGGATGTTCAGATGAGCCACTTACTAACTGCGTAGCCTCAGGTGAGTGACAGGCCTTAGTTGAGGGTCCGGCCAGAAGCAGACCCTGCAATAAAGACCTGGTGTCTATAGTTTACCTGGACTCTAGGAAACACAGGTAGGAGAGTGGGGAGGTGAGAGAGGGAAGAGAAGGAGAGCATTTGTGAGCAGGTTACTGTGGTGACCAGTCCCTCAGGGACTCACAATTATCTCCTCAATAAGAAGGTGCAGCCTCTGTGGGAAATGTATGTTAAGTTTCCTCAAAAACTTAAAATTGCTGTATGACCCAGCAATCCCACTTCTCAGTGTGGATCCAAAATAATTGAAAGCAGGATCTCGAAGGGGTATTTGCACACACATGTTCACGGCAGAATTATTCACAACAGCCAAGAGGTGGAAGTGACCCTGGTGTCCACTGGTGGATGAATGGATAAGCAAGATGTGATATATATATATAAATGGTGGAATATTTTCCTGCCTAAAAAATAAGGAAATTCTGTCACATGCTGCAACATAGATACACCTTGAGGACTTTATGCTAAATGAAAGAAGCCAGTCACACAAGGACAAATGCTGCATGATTCTACTTAAGCACAGTATCTAAAGTAGTCAAATTCATAGAAACAGAAAGTAGAGTGGTGGTTATCAGGGCCTGGGGGGAGGGGGATGAGGAGCGATTCAGTGGGCACACAGTTTCAGTTTTGCAAGGTGAAAAGTTCTAGAAATCTGTTGCATAACAAAGTGCCTACCAGTAACACTGCAAAGTCAAAACTGGTTAAGATGGTAAATGTGTTCTTTTATCATAATAAAAAAAAGATTGTCGCAGCAAGGAGCAAACAAATTGGGTTATTTACCATCAATTTCCTGGTTGAGGGCGTTAACTCGCTCAACCCTCAGAGGACACCCCTGTGCAGAAATACAGGAAGTCATCAGCACATGTGCAATTCTTGGGGTGACCTTTGGGTGACCAAGGACCTGGGTGGGGAGCTTAAGGAGTCTGACACATTACCTACATTTGAGTTTCGGTTTCCTTGTCTCTAAACCAAAAATGAGAAGGACCCACCTGAAAAAAAATAGAAATACCCACCTGGTCAGATGGTTGTGAAGGCTGTTTGGGGTGACATAAGCTCCCTGCCTGCCCTCCCAGGGGCCTCTCCAGCCTGAATTTAAGTGCGTAGAGCTTAGTCTCAAGCTGTGACCCACCCCCATCACAGACCCTGCCTCCCCCCTTTCATTTTTACAAATCAGTGATGTATTTGCCTAGGCCCAAATTTTTGGAACAAGCCTCTGAGTTTTGCAAAGACCAAGCCAGTGGCTCTGGGTCTAAAACACCCCCTCAGCCTCCCCGAACTCAGTTTCCTCCTCCCAGCCCACAGACGCCCTGGTGAGGGATGTGGACACACAGGGAGCCCTCTCACCAGCCTCCACCAGCATGACACCAGGTGGAGTCCTTGTGTGCCTGACTTCTTTCATTGAGCATAAAGTCCTCAAGGTGTATCTGTGTTGCAGCATGTGACAGAATTTCCTTATTTTGGGGGGCAGACAAGACTTGGCTCTTCTTCATATCGGTTCTTGCTCCAAGCAGAGCTTTCAAAGCCCTTTCTGGAAGCTGGGAGAAAAGGAGCCAAAATATTAGCAGCGGTTCCAGCTGGTTGTAGGACTCAGGGAGTAGCTCTCTTCTTCTTTATGCTTTCAGGATTTTCCACAATAGGCACATTCTATTTTTTTATTGACAGAAAAGCAAACTTATGTTTTTTTGTTGTTGTTGTTGTTGGTCTTGTTTATCTCACAAGACCTCAAAAAATTATGTGAGAACTCCCCTATAGCACTCCTCAGGGGCGGGGGTGGGGGGATGACCCTAACTCTAACTTATGTTTTTTTTTTTTTTTTTTAACTTATGTTTTTTTAAGCAAGCAATTTCAAAGCCCATGTGGTTGCCTCCAGCATTCTTGGTAGCCTCAGCTCATTCTGGGCGTCAACTTTTCATTACTCTATCTCCTGCCTCTCTGGCTTGAGTCCTCTGCCTTTGGACCTTGGTTCCATCCTTCAA